CTAATTTAAGCTTAAATTCGAAAGAAAAAGATGGATAAATATACCTTAACACACACAAACAATTCTCTGAGGACAATTTACAGCATTTCTAAGCTCATTTAATATCATTTTAACGATCATCAGACAAAAAGTGTGCGTAATGTAGAATATCATTGCCTTAATAAAGTATTTAGAAGGAAAATTTCATGTTGCATATTTTTTACTGCAATGATAGTCCATTAGTTCTAATTGTACAGCTTTGCTTATGAGATAGTACTCATAAGCAAATTGACTTTTTAAAAAATTATATGAATTCTCATTTTATCAATTTTATATTCATTTTGAAGACTAGATTTCTGGTGTACTAGTAAGTTAATGCCTAAAATGTTAACCAAAAGATTTATATATTCTGCTGAGTACAATTTCTTTAAATAATGTGATGACTGTGATTTGCAAGCTCTCTTCAAATCTCCAGTATCCTCAAGGTCCTAAATGAAAAGTGTGATTTGACTAGGATTCACAAATAAAGAGTCATTCGCAAGATTGATGGCTACCATTTTTATAAAGAGTTAATATCTGATAACTGAAATTATTATTGGTTAAATCAACTTCCTCTTTTTTCTACGTTTTTCTTGATGGGAAAATTTTTACTATAAAAATTATACCTTGTTGTAAGGAGAAATTATAGAGTGATATTCTTGTAACAATCATACTAAAATGTGTGGTTAATCATGGCCTAACGACCATATTCAAATGTGATAATCTACAATGACAATAAAAATAGCATCACAAAGCCCCTTATAATGCTACAAAATCAGAATTAAATGGGACTCAACAAAGATTGTGGGGGAAATGCATCATCGTCATCGTCATCATCATCATCATCATCATCATCATCATCATCAACATTAATAACTAATTGTGAATATTTATTGAGCTCTTTAATGGCACCAGACACTGTTCTAAATTATTTACAAGCATTATCTCATTTAATCCTCAAGCTGATGCTGCATAGTAACTCAGAGACAGATCCTTCTGGAAGCTGGAGAGAGGGTGCCAAAGGTCTTAGTTCAGGGCATTGAGACATAGCCCACTTTCTCTCCCAGTGAGGACAGGGCCTTAAATGGGGTTTTAAGAGGCTAAAAGCCCAGTGTTTGTGAACATTACCTTAAACGAAGGATATAAGCTGTTGATTCTAATTTCTTCTGGAATGTTGATGGAAGCTCGAAAAGACTTGTGACAGCTATAAATCAGATGTCTTCCATCCAGTCTGGACAGCCAATGTCACAGAGAGTTCTATGCCCCTCAGAGAACCCAGGGCCCAGGAAAATCAGCCCTAAGGCATGTTCTGGAGAGCTACTCCAGTTCCATCAAGTTCCATGTGCTTGGATACACTAATTAGCAACTTACAGAGGTATGTCTATAATACTTCTTGTCAGACCATAACCCCTGAAGCAGGGTGGATAGGTTGTATTACTATTTCCACTGCAGATGATGAAACAGACACAGGGAGGTTAAGTCACTTGCATAAGACTATATGGATCATAAGCTACAGTTCCAGGGGAGGAAAACCATAGAATCATAAAAGTGTATCCATTTGCATAAGTCATACCATTATTCACAACAGCCAAAGGTAGAAGCAATCCAAGTTTTTATTGATGGGTGAATGGATAAACAAAATGTGATGCACACATACAGTGCAATATTATTATTTAGCCTTAAAAAGGAAAGAAATGCTGACACATACTACAAAATGGATGAAACTTAACTAAATGACATTCACTAAGTGAAATAAGCAAGTCACGAAAGGGCAAAGAATGTATGGTTCCACTTATATGAGGTATCTACAATAGTCAAATTCAAAGAGAAAAGAAGTAAAATTACGGCTGCCAAGGGCTAGGGAACAGGCAATGAGGAGTTACTATTTAATGTGTATAGTTTTAGCTGGAAATGAAAAGTTCTGTAGATGGCTGGTGCTGACGGCTGGCTGTACAATAATGTGGCTACTTAATGCCAGAGAACAGTATACTTACAAATGGTTAAAGTGATGAATTTTACTGCTATGTTGTATATACTTTACTACAATTTTTAATCAAGTTTTTCCTACTTAAATCTTTGTATGACTCCTGGTCTTCAGATGGTATGTATAGCTCTGATGATACAATATTAGAATTCAAATAGTTCATCTTAGTGATGAGATGTACTCAATAAAAGATTAAAACAATAAAATAGAAATAATATACTCCAATGACCTATTTTTTTTTTTAAATCTGTCCCAGAAATAGAAATTAAGTTCTTCATTCTCAAATATTTACTGAAGTCTTCTTCCTTGTTAGTATAGTGGTGACTATCCCCGCCTGTCAAATATTTACTGAACACCTATGTTTGTTGTTAGGGATTCAACAATGAGGAAAAACAGATATAATCATACATTAATGAATATTACAAGCTGACATGTGGGGAATGGGAAGGAGAAAAACAGACATTAAGCAGATAATCACAAAAATGAGTGTTTAATTATAAACAACTAACATGGAGGAACATAGTTGGTTCTCTGCATGAGCACATCACAAAGTAGCCTGCCCCAGACTGATGGATTAGACAAGATTTTAAAAAAGACTGGAGTTACCTTGGTGGGGCTGTGAGAGTATTCAGGCAAACGGAACTGGACATGCAAAGGTCCTGTAGCAGGAGGCAAACCATGGAACCAAAGGAAGGATACAGCCTGGCTAGAGCCCAGAGGACACAGAGGAAAGTGTGGGCAAGGGACTAGAGAAACAGGCCAGGCAAAATCCCCTAGTCTTGTTGACTGGTGTGGGTGTTGTTGTTTTTTACCCTAAATGCAATCAAAAGCCACTGAAAGGATATAAGATAGGAAACAGCAAAATCAAAGTTGCATTTTTAAAAGATCACACATAATAGAGGAATTAGAGGTTTCAGGATAAAATTTCCTCTCTACTAAATCAACACATCCTGACCTTTCCCAGAATCAGACTTAGCACTGGGAGGCCTAAGTTTCTAGTCCTGATTCTGTCACTAATTAAATGTGAATCTTTATATAAGTTACCTCACCATTATCTCTAATACAGTCTATCCTAGACGACTGCTTAAGCCCCAAACAACTCAAAAAATTCTTTTTCTGGTATCCTACCTTCCAAATTTAGTCCTCAGAGTCCAGGCAAAAGAGAAATCCAGTGTCTACACAATTACCTATTCTCTGAGACTGAGGCTTTGCCCCAGCCATACCTCCCATACAATGCACATGGCACTCCACCCTCCAGCCATGTGGGTGTAGACAACAAACATGAAGTAACAGGCTAGAACATCCACCAACTACTACTTACTAACCACCTCAAGGTTTACTTTGTTCTAAGGAATTTTGTTTCCTCAAAGGGGTGGAGGAAAGGTCAATGTAGTTATTGTTGTAAACTGATGATTTTTTTCCTTTGCATATTATACAAAATACACTTTACTTTTCTTTCTTTTTTTGTTACACTTCACTTTTTTTAAAAAATATATTTTATTGATTTTTTACCGAGAGGAAGGGAGAGGGATAGAGAGTTGGAAACATCGATGAGAGAGAAACATCAATCAGCTGCCTCCTGCACACCCCCTACTGGGAATGTGCCGGCAACCAAGGCACATGCCCTTGACCGGAATCGAACCTGGGATCCTTTAGTCCCCAGGCCGACACTCTATCCACTGAGCCAAACCGATTAGGGCTCCACTTCACTTTTTAATGAAACAAGGGTGAAATCTATGAAGCCTCCATGGCTTCAATACTCTTAATAATTATAAATCTTATTATATACCTTAGACTAGCAGTGTTTGAAATTCACAGTCTAGCTATGAGGAAGTTAGACCTAGCAATCTGCTGGTAGATTAAGTACCTGCTCCTAAAAAATTACTGGTGATTTGACAAGTGGCATACATTGACTGTCTTGGATAAATGGATGTGTCAGGTTAGGAGTGCTGAAAGCCCAGCTGCAGTCCTCACAGGAAAAACCACAAGAAAACCACTTGATAGGCTACCCAGGTTCTTGCAGTTTGCCAGCCCTGCCCTCTCTGCACTGGGAGGTCTTTGGATGCATGGTCTGGTCACCTGAAGGAGAAAGGTACTACCTGATCTCTTACAGGCCTGCAAACACTGAAAGAAAAGAAAGAACTTGACTCTCCAGATTCAGCTGAATGATAAATCAATTCTCATTTAAAGGCACAAAACAACTTAGCCTTTCACATGTTCCTTTTGGAAAACAATCAGCAAAACTCGTCATCAACATATTAATAATCAATTTTTAACCAGTCCCACTCATTTTTCTAGAAATGCCTCAGGATCTTATATTTTAACATCAAAGTGGAAGGCCTGACAGAGCTAGGCAAACAGTATTAAAGATGCAGATCATACCATCTGAATAACAAAAGGCGATTTCTTCCTGCTTTTGCAACTTCTAAAAGATGTCAATTTCATGGCACCAAAAACATAATTTCAACACAAGAACAACATATAGAAAGAGTCCAAGTAAAGCTGAACTTGGAGTAGGTAAAGCAGGAAACCAAGGCATTTAAATGTTGCAGATTTTCTTCAGTGCTGCCTAATCCAAGATAGATAACAATAATATTTAAACCCAAACCATTTTAGTGAGAATGAAAAAGAAGACTAATCTGGTAGCGAGAACTCCTCAGTAGGAATCAAGAACAAATCCAAATCCTATCTCTGAAACCAGTTGTATAAACAGACCAAAACAGAATTTCCTGAGCCTCTGAGTATACTTCTGCTAAAAAAATAATTAACAATTATAGTAATAAATAATTTAGGATATTAGATGTAATATAAAAGTGACCTCCAGACTGCTAAATACTAAAGAAAACAAGAGATGGAAACACTGGAGGAGCTGAAAGTACCTGCCTAGAAGGAACGTAATAGCCAAGATATGCTCTCGTGTCTACAACACTGCTATTTTGGCTTTAAAATTAAACAAGCAGCAGCAGAAAGAACCCTAAAATTTCAAAAAGCATCTTACCAGAGTGATGTCTCGGGAAGCTGCAGCTGCGCTCATATGCAAACTAGGCTGCCGTACAGAACTGCTGCAATCAAGGGCTCGAGCGAATGTCCCAACAGCACTAAATAAACCACAAAAACAAAGAGGGAAAATCAAGACTCTGTTATTTTTTTTATATTTAAAGAAACACATTTTGGTGGTGAATGAAAAATCAAGTTCTTGGATGTTTGAAAATCAAGTACCAAATAAAAATAGTATTTTCTATAAAATTTAAGAATTGACAAGCCAATTTACCATATGAGTCATTACCATTAAATTAAAAGAAAAAGTAGGTTGTGAGGCATAAAGGAGGGAAAGATCTATTTTGAAATACCACAGAGTAAACAATTTGGCATTCAAATGTGCTAAAAAATGAGAATTAAATTAGCTAGAATTCAACTATTACTGCAAAGCAAGTTCTGACCCCCTTTTTTTTTAGCCCAAATTGTGAAATCCCAGTTACATTTTTTTCTTGAAATATAGTCAACCTCTTCTTATGAGGCTTCAATATATATTTCCATTTTTAAGAATTACCACACTGATTATCATATGATTTAGAAAGACTTCCCACATGTAACAAACCCTAACTTCAAGAAATAAAGCATGAAACGACAATGACTTGCTCCTTGTCTATCTCTCTTTTAAACACGTTAGCTAAGAAAAAGTTTTTAAAATGTTGTAATTAAACTATAACACGTGAACAAAAAAGTACACATAGTACACATTGTACAGCTATGCAGTTCTGGCAAAGTGAATGCATCCATGTCACCAATATCCAGGGTCAAGAAACAGAAGATGACAGCACCCTACACTACTCCCTCTCTCCCTTTCCTCCAAAAGAACCACTATCCTGGATTCTAACACTACACACAGGTTCATTTTGCTCATTTGGGAACTTAAATAGAACCAAATACTATGTACTCTTTTCGTGTCCATCTTTTTTTGTTCAAAGTTATGTTTGTGGATTCACACATGCTGCTAGCTGTAGCTGTGTTCATTCATTCTCCTTGCTGTGGCGCATCCTCTGCATGATGCCCCCCTCCCCCCACTCCTGCCACTCTACTGATGATGGATATTTGTTTCCAGTTTGGATAGTGATATTCATGCCATCTGCATATGGGTCTTCTGGTTAGATGATAACAGTTTACCAAAGCAGCTATACCAACTCATACTCCCACCAGTAGGATGAGGGAGGGAGAGAGGAAGAAAGGGAGGGAGGAAGGAAAGGAGGGAGGTAGACAGTGATGTGAGAGAAAAACATTGATTGGTTGCCCTCACTACCCTCCCCAAAAGGGATCAAACCTACAACCCAGGTATGTGTCCTGACCAGGAATCAAACTGGCAACCTTTTGGTACACTGGATGACGCTCAACCAACTGAGCCACTCTGGCCAGGCTCAACTTTATTTTTGAGATTTCTCTCTTTGCTACATATAACTCTAATTCATTCATTTTAATTGTTGTAAAGTAATATTCCATTTAAGTATTATTGCTTGCTGATGTACTCTTAGTTTTTTTCTAATTTTTCGATTACAATGCTATGATAATCTCATTTCCCTTCTGCTTTGCAGGAGGAATTTAACCAGGGACCTCTTGATTCATGGGTTGACACTCAACCACTGAGCCACACCAGCCAGGCAAACATCATTTGCTTTTATAAGTAAAACAATAAAAATAAATTTCTATCCCATTCATTTTATCAAGAAAACAGGAAAAAGAGGTCAGGTGGAGAGGAAGGAAGCCAGTTTGGCAGTCAGGCTTAGAGTTCTCAAAGGAAAGCCATATGCTCAGCAGTAGGCCTTCCCCATGCATGGGTGCAGGTAAGAGGAATTTGAGGCACGAATTATTCTTGACACATGACTAATCATGCTTTAAATTAAAGACATGGGATTCTAGGAGTTGAATTTCCTCTTTATACTTTTGTGCAGTGCTTACATTTTTACAAGGTGTGTTTATTTTTTAATCTATGAAACTTAATAAATCTTTCATTTTTAAAACAGAAACTAATGATAATAAACCATTTTATTTAGGAAGTGGTGTGACATATATTAGGCTTTCTTACATAATTAAAAAAAATACAACCAATGAAAAAAGCAGAATACAAAGAAAGGAAAATATGTATAAATTATTTTATAGAAAGAAAAGATGTTTTCACGCAATGTGTCATACTCACCGTGCTACAACTAAAAACTGGTCAATCTGTCGATCTGTAAGTGGGCTATTTGGGTCCCAAACTTTAACTTCCAATTTTGACTGTTCCCTCTCATCTGATTCTCCTGTCCGAGAGCAAGGAAAATGGAGTCTTATTACCCATAAGGCACATACACGGTCACATATGACTGATGACTGTGGTAACCACAGCATTAAAAATGTAGGGTAAATGTTCATGGTTTTTGGGTACATTCTTTCAGACAGCAAATGTAGAACACTCTGTAAAGTGAACACTGATAAAAATGCAACCACACCATATGGTATTTTCATTTGTCATTAACATGTATTTCCTGAATACTTGTATGGGTGAGGCACTAAGCCTCATGCTAAGGGATATAAAAACAAAAAAGAAAGCACTCCTGCAGAAAGACGCTTAAACTATAATAAAACTTATACATAAATAACTATGCTACAAATGAAAAAAAAAATACCAAAAACCCTAGATGTCATAAGAGACATACAGATATGGCTGTAGAGAAATCATTTCAGGCTAGTTAGGGAGTGAGGTCATGCAGGAGGTGGCATTTCTGCTAAGAACTGAAAGGTAAAGGAGTCCACTGGCAGAAGAACAGGACGTAAGACTCAGAAAGGAACATGAGCAAAGTCAGGGGCTCCCAAATGTGATTAGAAAAGTAGTTTGTTTCGTCAGGAGTACATTAAGGGGAATCAGGGGAGATAGCTAAGGAAGTGGACTATGAACATGTTACTGAAGATGCCACATAGATTTTCTGAAAAGGGAGGTAATGAGAAGCTCTTGCCTTTTTAGTACGGGGGTGACAAGACCAGAATCAAACTTCTCATCTCACACTTAACAATGGTATGTAATTTGCTCTATGGACATACCTGATGAAGACAGAAACGACATGACATTGACAATGACAACAGACAGCAAAGGGAGATTTAGGAATGTCAGGGACAGACTAGAGGCAGCAGGTAGATTTCAAGCCTCGAAAACTACAGGGATGGTGCTGGCATTATCAGAAAGAAGACTGAGATAATGCAGGAAACTCTGTTTCAGGAATAGCTCACAAAGAGACATAACCATCAGGTAGGACTCAATATGAGGACAAAGGATAATAATGGGAAACAGATTTGGGAGTTGACTGAAATTTTGATTTACAGCTATGGATTTCCTATCAGGCTAGGAACTGGTTTTGGCTTTGTTTTGCTTTTGAATCACTCCAACTACAAAATCAGGCAGTGCCTTGCACTGACTGACATACTATGAAGCTAAACATCCCTGACAAGCTCAGGCTATGGGATTCAAATGTGTTCAGTCCTGGTATAGGAACAAGCAAGCATCAATGGCTCAAACAGAGAAAGAGGGAGGACAGAATGAGCCATTCTACCTGTAGTCTCCTTAGCCGACCACTGCTGTCAGGTTGGGGACTTGCCCATCCTGCCCCTTGTTCAAAGGCAGATAACCAGAGAGCCAATCGCCTCCCCTAACACACAGAAACGCACGCAGAGTAGAAAGAGTACTGGGCCAAAACAGATCTAAAGTGTTGGAAAGGATTTCATTTTTCACTGTTTACAGTCCTCAGCATGCTGAGCCAAGACATTCAACATTAGGTTCATAGTTAAAAACAAAAAATTTGCAAACTGTGTAAAACTTGAGAAAGGAGAATGTCACATTTACACTTCCCTATATCTTCCAGTAATATATTTTAAGCAAGTTAAATAGTAATGGTAAAAAAAAAAGATAGTAATGATGAAAATAAAAATTTGATATCTTAATTTTTAAATAATACCAGATAAAATGACAATGCTACTCAGTATTGCGCCCCTCTCTGTTATATACTCCAGAACGAAAGGGTAAAACTGATATTTAATTTTCAAATTCTAGTAAAATTGATATTTCAATCCCACCTATTCATTCTGCAGCACACAGCACAAAGAGAATCCCATATAAGAATTCTAAAATAAATTTGCTGCAAACAATAAGAAAACACTCCTGGATGCACTTATACTAACACCTAAGATACAGATTAATACCATGAAATGAGAACAAAAATAGCAACAACAAAATGAAGATAGAAATATCAAACAGTCACTCTAAACTATTAAATAAGGATTCCCCATTTTGGATTCAACATATAATAACATTTAAATAACAGTTTGATCACTTCTTTACAATTAAAAAAAAACTTTTAAGAAGCTCTTGAGTAACCTTATTTGGAATCTATATAACTAAATTCTCAGCTAAGTGTAAGGAGTACTCTTTGGAATGGTCTTGGTAACTGTAGTATGAGCCAGAGACTAGAGCAGCGGTTCTCAACCTGTGGGTCGCGACTCCTTTGGCGGTCGAACAACCCTTTCACAGGGGTCGCCTAAGACCATCCTGCATATCAGATATTTACATTACGATTCATAGCAGTAGCAACATTACAGTTATGAAGTAGCAACGAAAATAATTTTATGGTTGGGTCACAACATGAGGAACTGTATTTAAAGGGCCATAAGGTTGAGAACCACTGGACTAGACCAAGATTAACTCCATGCTCTACTCCTGTTCATTCCAATCATCGCAATAATCTTACTTTCCTCCTCCATTTATGATAATCTGCTCAAGTCCCACATCATCAAATCATCCAGTTCATGAAGAGCTCCCTAATACCTGAATTCCCATGAAATGTATTTACCAACTAACTGTATGAATTGTATATTAGCATCCTATTTTGGCACCAAGCACAAAGGTCAATCAATCCTTTGTCCCCTTAAACCCTGGACTAATGCTTCCTCCACTGAGATATGTCATGTGTACAGTTTCAACAAAATAAAAAATGGAATTCAGGTTGCAGATGTTTTTGAACACAGGGAAATATCTTCATAAGCCCCTTCATCTATAATTCCAAGCTTCCCCATAGTTGGGTGTTGTTGTTTTTTTCAATTACAATTTACTTTTAGTATTTTGTATTGGCTTCAGTTGTGTAATATAGTGTTTAGACAGCCATATAGTTTTAACACAGTAGAAAGTGCCACAGATTTTGAGGCCACTAAATCAGCCACTACTTACACTAGAGGAAGACATTTCTGTAGAATGTCCATCTTTTTTTTTCTCTTAAGCTCTCTGTGAGAATACATGCTTTCCTGATCGCAGGGGAAAGTCTTAGATGAACTAACCCAACTTCCACACCATAATGACATTTTCCTACTTACCTACTGCACATGAGCTAATTCAAGGTCTTAAAGCATATGTTGCAGCAGGGAGACTATATTAATGTAACTCTTTAACTCTCAAAGATGGAGCCTCCTGAAGTTCTCAAACACTGACAAGAGTATTGAACTAGTAGCAACAGACAGTGGTGACCAGGGGAAAGCAACTGTAGTAGCTAACAATGTGTTGAGAGCTGTGCTAAATAAATTACTTCATTTGGTCATCACAACACTATTATACAGGGTGGAGCAAACATAGGTTTACAATTGTTCGTATGGAAAATAATACAATAATTAATAAATAATAAAAATAAGCTCTTTCACATACAACTGTAGACCTACTTTTGCCCCCTATATATGTACATACATTATCCCCTTTTTAAAGGGGAAGAAATGGGAACTTAGAGGCGTTGAACAGTTTTTCCAAGGTTATTCAGCTAAAACATAGCACAGCCAGGTTTTACCCAAACCTGTGAGTCCACTCATTGTAGTTTAATAATTTAATGTTATTATACTTTTTAGCAGCCACAATTTTAATTTAATATGTAAATAGATTTCTTTCTTAAATGTTCAGTGTTATAACACAGTGAATTAATAATTCAAAAATTTGCACATTATAATATCTTTTTGTACAGAAAATTCTCTAGGTGCTTTATTCAAACTCAGTAAAAGGTTTAAAATCTCAAAGAACCCTTTACCTTCCTTTGCAAACTACATACCAATCCAGATATTCAAGAGTTTGTTAGATGGTGAGCAGTCATAAATGAAACTCTAAAGTCACAAAAAGATTTATTCCCTAGCAAGACAAATGCCACAACAATATCTTAGAATCCATCAAGATATGTACACAAAGAATGTAAGCCTATAATATATTCTGACATGGTGCTGATGTTGCCACCTCCTCAGGATATTAATTCTAGTTCTGCAACCCATGCCAGTGCAAACTGGAATCTGGCCACTGATCAAATGTACCCACTCAAGAGCATCAAAGTAAATATCTGTTCTTTTTCTAAAAACTGTTTTTATTGATTTTAGAGAGAGGGGAAGGGAGAAGAGAAAGAGAAACATCAATGACATCAATCAGCTGCCTCCCACATGCACCCCAACCAGAAATGGAGCCCACAACCTGGGCAAGTGCCCTGACCAGCAATCGAACCAGTGACCTTTTAGTGCACAAGTTGGCGCTCAACCAACCAAATGAGCCACACCAGCCAGGGCCATAAATATCCTTTCTTGAATATGATGTTTCCTACTATTTAATTTCCCTACAAAAAGGTACTAGCTATATACGGAAGTTTCTATGATGACAATGTCCATGTTTTTCAAGTGTGGTTTAACCACTGGCATACCTATTTGCAGCCCAACACCCTCTCCCTTGACAAAAATATTAATTAGAAAACAGGAGTTCTTTAAATCTTGTATCTACTAGTAATTGACTACCTATTTATAACTGAAAAGAAACATTTAGTATATGCTAAATGCTTTAAGCTGAAATAAGAATCTAAAGTGACTTCTTCAATTATATGAAAAATATGGTGTTTTTCTTTGTTAAAGTTGAATACTTACAAATAAAGCCAATAAATTATAGACTTAAAAATAAGCTTACCTAGTAATACACAAAACTACATGACTAAATCTTTTTTTTTTTAACTCCCACAAGACCCAAAAATGGCCTGAACAAAGGGCAAGACATCCCTTGTTTCTGGTTAAGATGTTTTAACCTCATCAAAATGTCTGTTCTCCTTAAAATAATTTAAAAATTAATGGCAAACCCCAATAAAAATAGGAAGATTATTATTTTTCCTCTCTGGTGTTAGTCAAGCTGATAATAAAACTCATTTCGAAAAATGATACAGCGACTATCCTCACCAGATATTAACACATATCTCAAAGTCTTTATAATTAAAACAGTGAGTTACTAGAGCAGGAACAAATAGACCAGTGGAACAGAACAGAAATCTCAAAAGCAGCCCCACATACTGCTCAATATTATGAAATGATCAATCACCTTCCAACGTAATATATAATGTTAATACAATTTCAATCAGAATCCCAATAAATCTGGAAGAGAAGAAATTGACAAATTGTTGATAAACTACCACAGTAAGGGGGGAAAAATCTTAAGAGATGCGATCTCTCCACTAAGAAATTTTAAAAAAACAGTAAGGGAAAACTTGCCCTGTCATAAAACATATGAGATAGATAAAGTAAAGTCGGATCTCTAACACATGAAACTTTGCTTGGAATATACTTTTATGGGTCTCTATAGAATACTTATGTAACAGTCTGGGAGAATATGTAAATTAATAACAGGGGTTAACAGTGACTTAGAAGGGATGATCGGAGGTACTACTTTTATTTCCAGTGTAACTGCATCATTATCTTCCACGATTCCTATTATTTGCAATAAAATAATTTTAAGATTTAAAAAAAATGGACAGAAGTAAAGAGAATACAGTGGAGCCCTTTTGTTATGCTATGTTACAAAGGGATTTCATCCTAAGTATTTCTAACTGTGCAAATTTAATTTGGGTATTTTGACTACGTGTTGAAGAGGTGAGATTCTAAGAAATGTGAAGTACCGAACAGCAGCTTTCAACTTGTAGCGGAATCCCAAGGTTCCCTAGGACACCTTAAGAGATTTAATAGGGCCTTCTCCCCCCACCTCACCCATAATTACCTAATTTTTCTTATATTATTTAAGGTCATGTTGTGTAATATTTCATTTAAAGAAAAGGTTTTAGTGCCTAAATAAAGTTTGTAACAAGACTGTCAGGAGAAACATTATATTAAAGGCAATTAGTATTTGTTAATGAGCTCTAAGATCTATTTTATTAGTGAACATTGAGTCTCATTTTCTAAATACAAAGAATGCCTTTGTCAGATAACTGGTGTAACTCTCCCAATGACACAGCTGTCTAGAATCATTCCTCTTACTTAGAAGAACCTCAAGTCCATTTTGAGGACTACAGAGTAAATTATTGCATTTTATGTATTATTGTTTCCTAAAATAATTTTTTGAAATTCTAACCTAGGTGGACATGTTTTGCAAATTATATCACTCTGACTAGACTTTTGATTTTCAGGGACAAATATTATATTTAAATGCTTTTTGGATAAATGGGAACTCGTGAGATTGCATGACCTGATTTTTCTGCCCACTGTTACGTGAAACATCCCAGCTTCATTACTTTGTTCAGCAGGTATGTCTGCATGAGCAATACACAAAACTTCTAGACTTTTTATATACCTAGGCTTATGCTCAGTCCTCAAGGGAGAACCACACAATCAATGACTCAGGCAGTACAAAATGGTAAAAGTCAAATAATAAGAATAGCGTTAAGGATTACATGAGCATCAGGTCTGCACAGTTTGAAGAAGGGAGAGATCAGAGTTCAGGGAGGAGTAATAAAGGGCAGCCCAGGATATATAGGACTTGGGCTGGGTGCCTGTACACACATGAGCACCAGGGATGTTCCTGGCTTTTGGCCTGTGCACAGATGGACTTACTAAACTATCTCACTAGAAGCATACACATTTGTCAAAAACTCATAGAACTGTACACTAAAAAGGGTGAAATGTACTTACAACATATAAATTATACCTTAATTACAACAAGGAAAAAGCCCACCTATAAATGACTACCTGGAAGACAAGTTGACATTTTGTAAAAATTTCAAACACATGTGCCCTATGATTTAGCAATTGCACTTTTAGGAACATATTTTCCAGTTATATCCAGAGTACAAAATTATTCATTATACCATTACAGCACTATTGGTAACATTTTAAAATCAAGTGTTTTTTTTTTTGTTTTTTTTTTTTTTGTTTTTTTTTTATATTTTTTATTGATTTTTTACAGAGAGGAAGAGAGAGAGATAGAGAGTTAGAAACATCGATGAGAGAGAAACATCGATCAGCTGCCTCCTGCACATCTCCCACTGGGGATATGCCCGCAACCCAGGTACATGCCCTTGACCGGAATCGAACCCGGGACCTCTCAGTCCGCAGGCCGACGCTCTATCCACTGAGCCAAACCGGTTTCGGCATCAAGTGTTTTTTAATAATAATTTAGTGAACACTAAATGATACAAGTCTAATATCAAACATTAAGGACTATAAATATCCAAAAATTGTTTCTGGAAGACAAGCCGGTTTGCACCAATCAGAATGTGAGTAAATGCAATCTCCCAGCCTATATAGTAAATTGATATAGTCCAGTTAAAAAAAAAACATGTCCCAACACAGTTGAATACAGACATAGCATTCTGTTTGCCAGGCTTAATCATTACTGACTGACCTTTCCTGGTACTGAAGTTCATGAAAATGCAAAAGTCTGCAGACTGCATTATTCACAGCCATCCCACCTACCCACGACTGACATCAATGTGTCCTACGGTTCACAAACTCTATCCTGAGTACCTGTTGATCTAACTTTTCTGCATACATATTCTAGAAGGAAAGCAAGGTAGAGAGAAGAACCTATGGAAGAGCTCATATGCTTTAATAATCAGAGGGCAGAAATAAACGTGGAGGCCTTTCTGTGAATAATGCAAACCACACAGATCTTAAAGAAAAAGATTAATAAATTCTAAACTTCTATATGACAAAAAATTAAATAAAATATATTTACATCACTGTTAAAATGTCTTAAAAATAAAATAATGAAGTAGGGGAGGTGTGCTTTAATAGTTGTAGACAAAGGGCAAATACTTTGTATTTGTTTACCTTTAATATTCAAAGAACTCCTGCCAGTACATAAAAAGGTAAATAACCAAGGAGAAAATGCACAAGATATTTACAGAAGGGCTAAAGATAACTAAGACAAGCATAATCTCAAATTCTAAACCTTTTTTTAAATTAAAATAATGAGAATTCAAAATGTGAAGGGGAAAATATCCCTCATAATCACAGTGTTGCTGAAGGCATCTGGTTCTTTCATTTATAACAATACAGTATTTTGGAATGGCAAAGAAGCATTTTAGATATCTAAAATGTACATACCATTTCACTTCTAAGGAGTTATGCTTGAAAACTATTTACACAGCAAAAATATATGTATAGATTTTCTAAAAGCATCATTTGTAATGACCAAAAAAAAAAAAAATCCTAAACATCTAAAAGTCTATCAACAGAAGACTGGAAAAGGAAATTACCATACCTCTATGAAACATAAGAACTGTACAGTCACTAAAAAGAATAGTTACTCTACACACGGGAAAAGATGCTGAAGATACACTGCTAACTGAAAGAAGCAGTTGCAAAAATAACGTGCAACCTGCCACTGCACATGGACCATTCCTGGGTGAAGTGTAAGCCAAAGTGGGAACAAAATAAACATGCCCTTTTGATCAGAATAATTGAACATGGGTTTGAAATGAAGGAAAGGGGATGACATTCATTTCCTATGTTATACATTTCTCTATTTTGTGTTTCATTTTTTAATGTAAGAATGTTTTACTTTTGAAATCACAAAATAAAAGTTTTGAGTATGCAGTTATAATATATGTTTTTCTAGGAAGATGTTTTTAAAATACAAAGCTTGGAATCTCTTTGTTACATTAAGCTCCCCAGATCAGCCAAAATCTCCATCAAATGTAACTGCTCACTAGAGTTCATAGCCTCTTCCTCTAGAAGGCTTACGGGCATTCAGGATCTCAAGGCACAAGCATGCCACATTAAAACACAAATTCAACAATATGAACATTCTTAAGTTTGCCCTTTAAAAACAAAAGAGAAAACAGCCAAAACACTCATAAAAATGTAAAATCAAAAATGAATAATTGATGAAATAAATTATTATCCCTTGCTTTTTTCTGCAATTCTAAAATTGGGAGAACCCGTTTAAACTTTAGCCTAAAAGTTGTTTCTCCCAACTGAGAAAACCAATGTTTGAGTTTTCAGATACAGTATATGTTCTCATAGTACTTGAAACCCAAAGTAAGTCATACCTTCTGAGAGCATTTCTGGAATGTCTGCTTGATATCTAGGTCCCACTCTGATCTCACCTTTGTCAGCTAATAGTGTTTTCACAGAGGGGTCATAGACCAATGAGTAGAAAAAGGTATCCTGGAAAAAAACACACAAAAAAACAGAAAATACCTAGGTAAACGTTTTATAAAACAAAAAATCCAATGTCATGATCATGAAACCACAAAACTTCAGAGTGTATAAAATTTCACTTTGGTGAACAAATTCATAAATGTTTAAGGAGAACACGAAGTTATTATCATTATGTAATACAGTATAATATTAAATCAAGCCAAAAGAAATAGCTTAGAAAAATATATTATAAAGATTTATTATTTGTTCTAGTCTAAAAGAAAACCATTTCACTGCTCTAAAACAGGATTTTGAAAAGCTAGCAAAATTAAGCCATGTACGTCAAAGGTAAGATACCTAAAATCAAGTAAACAGTTAAACGTCCAAAGCCCACACTAAACAGTATGGATGCTTACATAGATAATAGGCACTCTTACTTTTTGAGTGTCCATCCGCATTTTATTAAAATGTACACACACCCACATTAATTAAACTACAGAAGAGCTGAGCTTTTATACAGTTTACTGATTAAAGTGTCACACTGTAAACATTTAATTAAACATTTAATTAAACATTTATTACTTATCCTAGCTAATAAAAGAGAAACATGGTAATTGGTGTATGACCGCTACCCTTCCCATTGGCTAACCAGGGCGATATGCAAATTAACTGCCAGCCAAGATGGCGGCCGGCAGCCAGGAAGCTTGAAACTAACATGAGGCTTGCTTGCTTCAGTGACGGAGGACTCCAACGTTCCCCGCCTGCCGCTGCAGGCCTCTGAGCTGCAACTCTAAGCAACTATGTTACAAATATAGAAGCTAAACAAAACCCCAGAAACCTGCTTTAGTCCGCCAGGCTTCAGCCAGCAGGATCGCAACACTGTAAGCAAAGGTCAGAAACCTACTTTCAGCAGCGGAGGCCTACAAGCTGGAGCCAAGCCTCAAAGCTAAAGCTGGCCCAGAATAAAAAAAAAGAAAAAAGAAAAAAAGGAGCGGTTGGGAGCTTCCATCACCCCCAGCTTGAAAACAACCCTCAGCCCCTCACCCAGACTGGCCAGGCACCCCAGTGGGGACCCCCACCCTGAAGGGTGTGTGACCAGCTGCGAACAGCCATCATCCCCTCACCCAGGCTGGCCAGGCACCGCAGTGGGGACCCCCACCCTGATCCAGGACACCCTTCAGGGCAAACCAGCCAGCACCCACCCGTGCACCAGACCTCTATTCTATATAGTAAAAGGGAGATATGCCTCCCAGCACCGGGATCAGCGGAGCCGCAAGGCCTACCACCAGGATCAGCGTGACAGGGGGCAGTGGCCCAACCCCCTGATCGGCCCTGCTCTGTGTGTGACAGGGGGCGGGGCCACAACCTCCCTATCCACCCTGCTCTGTTCGTGACAGGGGAAGGCGCCCCAACCCCCTGATCAGCCCTGCTCTGTGCCTGATAGGGGGGAGCTCCCCAACCCCCTGATCGCCCTGCGGCTGTGTGTGTGACAGGGTGCGGCGCCCCAACCCCCTGATCGGCCCTGCTCTGTGGGTGACAGGGTGAGGTGCCCCAACCCCCCCTCCCACGGGCCCTGCTCTGTGTGTGACGGGGTAGAGCCATAACCTCCCCATCGGCCCTGCCCTGAGTGTGAGAGTGGCAGCGCCCCAACCCCCTGATTGGCCCTGCTCTGTGGGTGATAGAGGGCGGCACCCCAACCCCCTGATGGGCCCTGCTCTGTGCATGACAGGGGGCAGCGCCCCAACCCCCTGATTGGCCCTGCTCTGTGCGTGACAGGGGGTGGCACTGCAACCTCCCTATCGACCCTGCCTTGAGTGTGACAGGCGACAGTGCCCCAACCCCCCAATTGGCCCTACCCTGAGCGTGACTGAGGGTGGCATTGCAACCTCCCAATCGCCCTGCTCTGTGCATGACAGGGGGCGGCGCCCCAACTCCCCAATCGGCCCTGCTCTGAGCCCGACCAGGGGCTGCACCTAGGGATTGGGCCTGCCCTCTGCCACCCAGGAGCAGGCCTAAGCCAGCGGGTCGTTATCTCCCGAGGGGTCCCAGACTGTGAGAGGGCATAGGCCAGGCTGAGGGACCCCCCCCGAGTGCACAAATTTTTGTGCACCGGGCCTCTAGTAATTCTATAGTTCTCCTTTAAATTCTGAAGCATTCATATGTATACATAGGTAGGTATATTAATATTCATACATACCACCACGATCAGCACACCCACCTGACTATCCATGGTCCCATAAAATGCAACAGAGCCCTAGTTACTGAGCCTAATGGATAAGAAGACCCAGCCACCAGTCCTTTGCTGAATTCTGGGTAACCAATGGAGGCCATCTGAACAGGTAAAGTCTTGTCCTTGCTTTCGGCTATGATTCTGAGGGTCACCTACTGCATGAACCTCTCTATTAAATCCTGGAAGGCCGGGCCCATCATTACCATCAGCACTTTACCAAGACCCAGCCAAGCAAACTGCAAATAAGAGTTAGATTATAAAGCTTTCTCCTTTCAAGGTCTTACAGGCTGTGATAATGGGAAAGGAGAAAACCAAAAAGGAGATACTAAGAAATTCTGCAGTGTTTTAATCATGGTTCACTGTCAGAAAAATTAAACAGCAGAACTGTTCAAAAGTCACACCATTACGTGACAATCTATGCATGTAAAAAAATGCTATATAAGGAAAAGAAAAAAAATCTGCAGATTATATAAACCTGCTTAATAGATTGGGGGGGGGGGGGGTAAGGACAGTCAGTACATAATCAGAGTTGTTGTTTCATTATTTTTTTAAGACAGGAGCAACAAAGAATGTTACCAGGTAACTAAAGCTGTTACCACTGGCTCACTATCAGCTTTAAAAGTAGAGGCACTTTAGGTCACTTTCAGTCTGTAAAATGTTAGTATAGTATTCCATAAAACAAGATTTTGCACCCTGGCCAGTGTGACTCAGTTAGTTGGGTGTCATCCTGTACACAGCAAGGTTACTGGTTCCATTTCTAGTCAGGGTGTGTATGGGAGACAACCAATCGATGTTTCTCTCTCACGTTGATGTTTCTCTCTCTCTCTCTCCCTCTCCCTCTCTCTCTCTCTCTCTAAAATCAATGAAATTGAATGAATATGTTTTTGAAAAAAATTTTTTGTTAAAGTTTCCTTAAACACACTGCCACAGGTCAGTTCCTATCTCAAAGATTGATAAAAGGCTAAGTGGTGAAAAAAACAAACACCTTTGCAAATTTTCACCTATTACAGTCCTTAGCATATCCAAATTGCTAACAATAACATAGAAGGCAAAAAATACCATTTTTTAAAAATCCACTCAACAGTCAAATATTCAAATAAAATACACTGGAACATATTGAATGTTCCCTCCTTTTATTTCTGCTTCTGTGCTAATTTATAGCATTATCAATATCCATGTTATGATCAACCATTCTGCTGGACAGACTGATGTGAGTACCTTCTTTTCTAAATTTCACAAGCATAAGTTATAAGGACTATTAGTCTTTTTTTCTGCCTTGAATATTTATTTCCTTTTAGTTTTCTTTATTAGAGTTCCTAATACGTAGTAGGTCCACATATTTTAGCTATCCTTTTATTTATGTTTTCTTCATTTGAAATATGAGGACAATACTTGAGTATGATAAGAAATATGTCCCTTTAATTCTTTTTTAAAAATACACACACGCATACACACACACACACACACACACACACACACACACACACGTATATAAAATAAAGATTTAGGGAAAACAAAAACACCATGAAACTATATATAAAGGTAAAATACTGAAGCAACACCAACAGTAAAATATTTTCCCCATAATACCAATGCTAATAAGTCACATACAACTGTGTATAAAGTGAAATACAGGTTATTCTGTTGATAAGCATTTCCTCCCTTCATTTGAAGCACATGCTCGAATTCAACCTGCTAAACATAGTTAAAATTTTTCTTGAAGTTTACAGAAATAAATATTTTTAGTTGACAAAGTTTATTAGGGTTCCAGGAAAGAAAGCACACCACCAATGGTAAAATCTCATCTAAAAGAGTCTAAAAGAAAAGCTATTTATTAAAAACAATGATGGCAACAAAACAAACAAAAACCAGGAAAGAGGACCAATTACAGTAAAATCATGTCTTCATAAGCCAAAATATTTCTTCTACCAGCTAATCATGTGCTGTACTTTATACAGTTTTTCATTACCAACTAAAAAGAGAGAGACAGACACAGGGGTTTTGTCAACTCTTGCCTCAACCAGAAAAATCAAATTATCCAAATACATTTTAGTGATTATATTTTTACTATAATACTGCTATGGTGGTGCAATAATTTGGTACAAAAAGAAATTAATTCAAAAGATATGGCTTCATGCAAAAAATGGAAAAACACACAGAAAACAAGTATAATTGTGAATTACCTCTTTATCGAGATATGACAATACTGACTCTGTCTCATTCAGAAGGGCAACACTGCATTTCCCCCTGTTGAAAGAGGGGGAAAGTGAATGAACAAATAAGCGTTTAAGAAAGGCTACTCCACCTTCACAGTGGTGACGTATGCAAAATACGGAATATTCCAAATGTAAAGTTGGCATTAAAAATCCAAATGGCAGTTAGGAATATACATAAATGTAAGACTGGCTTTACAATCCTGGTGTTGTATAATCTAAAACATAAGACTGTTTTTGTAGACATTTATAGAGAAGCTAACCTCTATAAATGGAAAGAGCAGTTAGGTGGTAAACGCTTATATCATAAAGCATTTTATAGTTATTTCTGAATTATTCAAGGAAAAAGTACAATGAAAAACCTTCAGATTAAGTCAGTTTCTGAGTCTATAATGAGTAAATATGAGGTGGTTTTATATTTTTCAAGCAAAAATATAAACAATGAAAACAATTATATAAACAATGAAAACCAGTATCTAATATAACCTCCAGATTTTTAAAGAAGCCACTGCATATGATAACCTAAAAATAATACACACTCATATCAGGATTAACTAACTTACCTTTATTGAAACTGCTCTAAAGACTAGTTAAAATTTAAACACTAGCAACTTCTACAGAGCAAGGGGCAAAATAACGATCTATAGGCTTGTGCGGACCTTGAAGTTTGATAGCAATTACCTTTGATCCTAAGTCTGTGCATGAGTTTGGAAATTATGTCAATTTAAAAAGGCTGGTCTAGACTTGAGAAAAAGTAAGGTTATCCAGGTAGAGGCATAAATTATGAGCACTTTTAAAATTATCCTCACTAGCTTGAAAAATTCAATATAGCTATATATGTGACAGGAGGATTTTTAAAAATATATTTTTATTGATTTCAGAGAGGAAGGGAGAGAGATAGGAACATCAACGATGCCCTAGCCCAGTGGTCGGCAAACCACAGCTTGCAAGCCACATGCGGCTGGCTCTTTGGCCCCTTGAGTGTGGCTCTTCCACAAAATACCACATGCGATTGAAACTTTGTGGCCCATATGCAGAAGTCGGTTTTTGGAAAGATAGACGAAACAAGTATACAAGACGAGTGTGGATGGGAGAGTTGGAAGGGGTCGACCTCAGCGAACATACCTCAATCAGATTGAGGACATTTTTAGCAAAGGCCAGCTTAGGAGTACCCTAAATTAATAACAATATACCTACCTATATAGTTTAAGTTTAAAAAATTTGGCTCTCAAAAGAAATTTCAATCATTGTACTATTGATATTTGGCTCTATTGACTAATGAGTTTGCCGACCACTGCCCTAGACGGTTTGGCTCAGTGGACAGAGCGTCGGCCTGTGGACTGAAGGGTCCTGGGTTCGATTCCAGTCAAGGGCACATGCCCGGGTTGCAGGCTTGATCCCCAGTAGGGGGAGTGCAGGAGGCAGCCAATCAATGATTCTCTCTCATCATTGATGTTTCTATCTCTCTCTCCCTCTCCTTTCCTCTCTGAAATTAATAAAAATATTTTTTTTAAAAAACACACATCAATGATGAGAATCATCAATTGGCTGCCTCCTCCAGGACCACCACTGGGCAACATGACCTCCTTATTCATAGATTGATGCTCAACCACTGACCCATGCTGGCAGGTCTTGACAGAAGAATTTTGACTGTTCAAGTTATAGATATTTGTCAGGGCTCAGAAATATTTTCTAAATATGATGTATTTAATTTTCTAAACAAAAGTCACTACTTGCTCCCCACAAAATAACAAGCAAAAATAAACACATTACAGGGAATACAGTCCATAGTCGATATGTATAAAAGGCTAAGTGACTGTCCGACCTCTGGTACCTATGTTGCGCACTGACCACCAGAGGGCAGACGCTCAGTGCAGGAGCTGCCGAGCTGCAGTGACTTGGCAGCGGTGGTTCTTGGGTTAAGGACCCTGAAACCAGAGAGGAGGGAGCCTGATTCCTTGTGGGGCTGCATGATTCCACCTTCAGCCTGATTCCACCTTCAGCCATGGGTTATGTTGTTGCTGGGGCACTGTCGTCCCGAATCTGGTTTACTGCACACTTGTGTTTGCATTCCACACCCTGTAGGACAGCAACTTTGCAGAGTGCCCTCTCATACTCTGGGACCCCTCGGGGGATGTTGGAGAGCCAGTTTCATCTGATCCCCACAGGCCAGGCCAAGGGACCCCACCTGCTCACTCTGTAGATGCCCACAAGCTGCAGCACCGCCCCAGGTGCAGCCGGCTGGGAAGGAACCAAAGGAGGTTGGCTCCAGGGTGTGTGTCCGGCCTGTCTCGCCCAGTCCCGCCCATTGGCCACCACCCGGGACCACCTGCATTAGTCCCTGCACCAGAGCCAGCACCTTGAGCCAACTCCGCAAGCCAGCATCTCAAGCCCAAAGACCTGAGCATGAGTTTTCTTTCTTTTTCTCCCCATCTCACTCCGCAGATGCCCTTCGAGCCACGGAGCCATCCCAGGAATTCTAATTAATTTCCTTTCAATGTGTACGAATCCGTGCACCGGGCCACTAGTATTATAATAACTATGCATGTCACCAGGTGAGTGGGGGTGGGGGTGGGAGTATTACTTTGTAGTAAAGTATATGCCCTGGCCAGTGTGACTTGGTTGGTTGAAGCATTATCACATACACCAAGGGGTGGCAAGTTCAATACCCAAGTTGAGGGTTCAATCCCTGGTTGGGCCACCTGTGGGTTTCTCACATCTCTCTCTCTCTCTCTCTCTCTCCCCCACACCCCCTCTTTCTGTCAAAAAAAATCAATTAAAAATTTTTTAAGTATATGATTGTCTAATCATTATGGTATACACCTGAAACCAATACAAAATAATACTGTTGTAAACTGTATTAGAAAAAATTAAATTAAAATAAGAAAAACAATTCAAAGGAAAAAATACCACAAGAAAAGCAAAATACTAGCACATAGGTTAAAAAAAATTAGTTTTCTAAACATTTTGCAATACTTCTATATTCCTCAAATTTAAGATCATTTTCTCATAAAAACATCTTTTTCTGGTAATCACCTTAGGTTAATTAACATCACTTCAAAAGATATCTCTGAGAGCATATGATATCTCCATAATATCCCATCTCTATTTTGGTTACCAAGAGTTACAAAGGTTTTCTATTTTTCTAATATATTTTATTCATGCATATTACTGAAGCAGAAAAATTAACATTATTACTTCAGTACACATAACAACACTCAAAAGTCAACAATTACCTGACATGCTTTCACAAGGGACAAAATGAGTGGGAAATTGCTCTGTTGCTGTGAGCACATCTACAGCAGCCACAGAACTTCTCTGACCTGTGGCTATGTGCTCCCCCATGCAGCATGCTTAAATAATAAATGGGCTTTCTAAAAGTAAGCTCCATTTTATTTTGCCTCATTAACAGTTAACAAAGCAATATTTATAACAATTAATACATTACCTAGAAGAAATAAACTCATTTTTGTTAAGTTCTCAAAAGTTGAGTATTTTTTAATGGGAGAAGCAAAATCTGCTAAATGTTATTTTAATAGATACCACTTTCTTTAATAGTCACTTGAATTTTAAGGGTTAACAGTCACTGGAAATTCATATAAACAATATAGCATACTTAAAGTCTCCTCCATACTGTCTGAAAGGACAAGAGAATTTAAACTGAATAATTAAACCATTTTCATAATTATATTAGGAGATAGAAAACACTGGTTATACTGTTTTATAGGCACATGATTAAAAAACACCAATAGGATACCTCAGCCAATCTAAAATATAAATTATTTGGGGCAATATAGCTTTTATGCAAAAATGAAAGGATAATAGGTGATTTTAGTTTTTAAATTTTCTTTACTATACCTATATTATACTTTTCCCAAATTAAAAATGAAAATCCGCCCTGACCGGTTTGGCTCAGTGGATAGAGCGTCGGCCTGCGGACTGAGGGGTCCCGGGTTCGATTCCAGTCGGGGGCATGTGCCTTGGTTGCGGGCACATCCCTAGTGGGAGGTGTGCAGGAGGCAGCTGATCGATGTTTCTCTCTCATCGATGTTTCTGGCTCTCTGTCCCTCTCCCTTCCACTCTGTAAAAAATCAATAAAATATATTAAAAAAAAAATGAAAATCCAACACAAAAATATTCATGTACACGTATTAACAGCTGACAAAGCAGGATGTTGAGTCAGAATTATTTTATGAAGTATGATTATGTAATAAACACGTGCTACATGCCAAGAGTTGCCAATAAAAGTAGTTTAAATGAGATTTAAACTGTTGTCTTCCTTTATGCTGAACAAATATTGGCACATAGATAAACACATGCTAAATTTTAAGCAAACCCCAAACTAAAGGAATTATTATCAAACTCTAAATATGATTTATGCTAAATCTCAAGCAATGATCCTCATTGTTCTCTCCCATAATACTTCAATCCTTAAGGAATAAAGATACCCAAACATGATGATAAAATATATCAAAGACCATACACAAAGAAAGAATACTCCAGGCCCATATAATTATTCATACTGCTTTTCTACAGGGAACCATGCAAGAGCAAGGAATTTCCATGGAGATAACATACTACCCCACAGATCATTCAAAAAGTTCTTTAAAATATACTGTTTCAGAGACCGTGCTGGGATAGAGAGACATGTGAATAAACATAACACAACATGGTCCCATGTTTAATGGCAGGTGCTGATCAGCCTACTGTTTGCTTATCAGGATGTCCTGTATAATCCAAGAAATTCAAAAACCATATGTAAAAATGTGCATACAGGTAATATATTTCTTTTACCTAAAGAGGTTACCAATCTGGATAAGTGAAAAAGAGAAAGTTTAAATTAGCATCCATTTCCATACTGCCTGAAGAATTCCATTCCATTTCATACAACTGCAGTTTGTGGAATGGTTCAGAATTTACCATCCCTGCTTGGAAAAAAGTCCAGATTTCTTAGGCACACCAGACTGAATGAATCCAAGTATCTGGGGGAGGATCAGGAATCTACCTGATCAACAAGCGTCACCAGTGACGTGA